ACACACACACACACACACACACACACACACACACACACAGGTCAGGTCAGTATTCAGCAACAACATGTCCTCCTGCAGTAATGACCCTATCCAGAGGAACTGTACTTTCCTACCAACAAACCAATATTTACTTTTGCCAAATGTTTGCTTTCTGTTGCTAAAATGGCTGTATGACCCTCGTGCACTCGCTTCTTGTTTATGAAGTGCTGGAGCTGATGCTGCCTTCACATGCATCCAGCACAGAGAGCTCTGCAGCCAACCTGATTCTGACAAACAAATTTATGACTCAAGCAGTCATAACTTATCAAACTTACACTGCAGTTTGAGTGGATTAAAGAAGCATCTTAACTTGTTTTAGAGTTGCTGTAAGGTGGACTCCGCAATTTCTAAAATGGTCACTTAAAAAAATTATAATAATAATTTACACCAATATTTATCTTCTTAGAATCAACGTTTTCTCTTGTGTTTACTGGTACCTGGTAGTATCAAACATGCTACTACAACCAGAAGGGGGCAGTAATGCACCTAAAAGTGTTTTTTTCAGAAGTGGCAGCTCCAGGATGTCAAACTGGGGCTGATTTTTATTTTGTAAAGCAAGAGATGAGGTCCGCTGCAAACCAAACAATTAGGACACAACACATCATTATTAACCAAGGAAGTGCACTAGTAAGACCGTATTTTCTAGATATGCTAATGAATAATATTATTTATAAAATTGTTGCTGTTAGGGAAGAGAGCAAACCCTGGGACTTCACATTTGTTCTCCGCATGACTTCACCATCTGATGCATCCTTCAGTGTTTTCTTGTTGGTTGCCAAATTTGTCTGTGACACTCATGACTCTTTTGATGTGGATTTATACTGCGGCTGTTTCACATTAAGAAGAAACACATCTTAAAGAATACAAGTTCACACACTGAAATATAGATGGGCTGTGAAGGCAATCAGTACTGCAGTTCAGCAAATCCAGAGACCACAGGCTGAAGGGCAGCAGTGCCGCTTCACTGAGCGGATAATTAAAATTAACCAGCAGAGAAGAGGAAAACAGACATGAGAGCATTTTATGTGAATGTGCAGTTTGTGTGTCTTACAGCATATCGGGACAGTTCTGAGGTTTCTCCAGAAGCCCCCCCTCCATGACAAAACGGAGAACTTGTTCATTAGAGAGACCTTGGTAGGGCTGTTCTGCCAGAGTGGCAATCTCCCACAGCACAACCCCAAATGACCTGTATAGAGGGAAATGGGGAGGGGGGCAAAAAAGTGTGCTTTCCATTATCTTTATGACAATGATGACATATTTTTGGAAGCAGTATACACACAGAATGAAGTCACCATGTGTGTTTTCATGCATCTGCGTACCAGACATCCGAGTTGGTGGTAAAGACTCCATCTTTCAGGGACTCGGGTGACATCCAACGTACGGGGAGCAAACCTTTACCACCTTTGCGGTAGTAATCTGTCTCATAGATGTCTCTGGTCATGCCAAAATCTACTCACACACACACAAACACAAGCGCACACAGACCAAAAGTAAGAAAGTGAAGCAAAAAACAGTCACTTCATTCGATAGAAATGCTTTCAATTTTTTTCTGACTTCTTGGTGTAATTTGAGTGGGTTTGTATGTCATACGGTGGTGCTTTTTACTGGTATTATAACTCTTAAAACAGCATTACATTCACTGCCATCACTTAGGGTGTTTTCACACCTATGGTTTGTTTACTCTGGTCCAAATCAGTTAATCAGTTTGTAAACTTGTAGCTTTTCCCTGCAGTTTGGTTTGTTTTCACACAGAGAAAAATCCAAGTAAACTCTAAGCAAAGCAAAATGCATGACTACAACCCAGTCCCCTCATTGGCCAGAAGTTTCTGTGGATGGAAGCAACAAAAGCAAATACAGGAAGAAAGTGCTGTGTTCTGGACTATCAGAGAAGAAGGAGAATTTAAGCTCATGTCATGGCTAGCTGCTAGCCCGTACAGGCATTAACAGTGCCTTGCCCCATTCAGAATCCAAAGCATTTGTAGTTGGTTCGGATGGAGGTCGGATTACGTTCCCACCATAAACGAACCGCTCTGGAGTTCATTTGGAACTGCACTGAGACCACCTCCTCTAAAGGGTTTCAGCGCAGTTGTTTTGGTTCGCTGCCGAGTGCTATTACTGTGCTAGCATCTGCACAAACGAACAGTTCAATTTAAACTGACTAAACACAGAAGATGTGACAACACCCTTAGACAGCACATCACATGAGCCTTAGACATTTTAACAAGGCACATCATTGTAGCTATAACTGTCTAGAAAATAGCTAATGATGCTAGTGGTGTGTTTTCTACTTTACTCTGTAATTGAGTTCACACTTAGTGAGCATACTTCCAGTGACAAGACTCATCCTTTACCTCCGATCTTAACAGTAAAGTCCTCGGCTACCATGCAGTTCCTGGCTGCCAGATCTCGGTGGACAAACTTGTTGGCGTTGAGGTAAGCCATGCCATCAGCAATCTGCCCTGCCATCTGAAGCATCTTCTTCAGAGGAGGGAGAGAGAGGCTGGACCACTGTTGCTGGATACATGAAGGAGAACAAGCGAACATGAATTATCTGACCCACAGGTGATACTCTCTCACTGCACTTAATTACAACATTGCATTACACTGGATAGAGATACAATTAAGTTACTATCATGCAAAAAACCCCTACAGATTAAATATTTAGCTTTGTTTTTATTCAGTACTCATTTTCTGCGGATCACTATGACGATAATTTACTACCTCTTTAGGTCGCAAGGAGCGCAAATAACTTTTTAGATCTCCTCGGGTCATCAGTTCCATGATAACCAGGGTGGGCTGGCCCTGAGAGACCACTCCCAGGAGACGAACCTGCAACAAACATAGGATGATTCAAACACAGGTAACAAAGGGAACTGATGTAACCATGTGGCCATTTCTTCTTAACTAGTCAGAAAATATGAACTACCCTGATTTCTCCGTAAGATCTGAATTTATGTGAGCACATACCACATGATGACAATTGAACTCCTTCATGACGGAGGCTTCATTGAGGAACTCAATCCGCTCTCTCATGCTGGCCGACTCATTAACAGTCTTAATGGCAACACGCGTCTCTGGTTCGTCTTTGACCACACCTTTGGCTATGCCTTCGTACACCATGCCAAATGACCCTTGGCCAAGCTCCCGGCTCAAGGTGATCTTCTCCCGTGCCACTTCCCACTCATCTGGTACATACACTGCACAGAAAAAGGCATTTTTATGTTAGCAAAAGAAGCGTGATTACTTTCTGATGTGTGCTGCCTATCCACATCCAGTGTTAGCTATTTAACAAAGCAGACAGAGAGATAGTGATGTAAAGATTCAATCTTTCAAAAACACATTAGCTAGCCTCGCTCTAGTGGAGAGAGTCCAGCTGACAAATTATTAGTTATTACTGCAGTTGTTTTCTGGTTGATTGTGATTGTTGTACAAGTGTAATATATTTTCATGGCTTTAAATTAGTGATAAATTTAGATAGAAACTGGCTGCAATGGCTTACTTTGCTCCCTGGCACATAAATGTGCATAGGTTATAAATGTGATTTAAATTCCTATAGGTGTATGGTGGCTGAAGCTGAGGCAGTCTTATTAATAACCAAGATTTCCATCTCAGCAGTGCTGATCACAGGTACTTATCAAATGTTTTGTTTTTCAACTAAAGGCCACTGAATGGACGGGAATGCTTAACTTCACTCACTTTCTGCTGCGCTGAAGTACTCTGGGTTCACTGACGCGTACAGAACTCCATTTCCGAGCCGATCACTGTTCCTGACAAAAAAAAAAGAAAAATGTTTACAGACACAGAACAGGGAGTGTGCATAAGGGTATAATCATGCACATCAAATTTTTTATTTTACAAAGAATACTAGTAAAATGCAACATTGACACAAGTGAACTTTTGCTTCAGATGCATTTACACTCCCAGATATACTCGACATTTGTTAGGCATAACAGTGCCTGGATAGAGCAGGAGGCAGCAATGCACAGCTCTCTAGCACTTGATCTTCGTACTAAGGAATGGACAGGTTAAAGACTGACTGATTTACAAACTAGAGAAGTTGTTGCAGTTCACGTGTGAAAACAAGTATTGTAGTATTTCAATTAGGAAACCTACTGTGGCTGGCTCAGAAAAAAGAAAAAAAGATTAATAGGCCCTAAAGTAAAATCACAGTATGACAGGTGTTGCTAATTTCTTCTGGAGACTCATTACTTCATATTACTTCAGGTTGTTTTGAGTTCAAATCATGCAAATTTATGATCTTCAGTTCTCTTCAGGATAATTTTGGTATTTCAACATAAACACTAAATATTATAACCCCACATACAACAGGGTGCCAATCACGTAACAGATGGAATTCTAGCTTTATTCGCCACTTAGTTTTATGGACTACAATTGGCAAAAGCATTTTTGCTTTGGTTAGTGTGTTGGTTGAGTGACTGTGGATCACAGTGTGACCACACCACCCATTAGTACGTTGTTTAAGTGTTTATTTTGGGGAAGAAAAAGGAAGAAAAGTACATGCCCATATGCCTTTCATTTTGGGTTTTTTCCTGATACAGGGTCGCGTTTCTTTCGGGAAAAGTATGGCATTCTCTTTCTCAGGATAGATCTTTCGTAGGTGACGAAACACTACTTGTGCACAAACCTTTTCCTGTTGAGGACAACCATCACTCCAATCAGAAGGCAGATGAAGATGATGATGGAGATGGGAACAAAGATCATGGCGTAGAAGATATTTTCATATCCTGCTGGGTTGAACAGTTTGATTAATATCATTGGTAGTTTTGACGTCATTCAGTTGTTAGAAAATAAAAAGGCACAACATTTTGTTTTAAAAAATGCTGCAATCAACTCTAATGATGCATGATCGCATCCGTCTTACTTACGTTCAGCCACATAGAGATCCACAGTTTGTGTCCAGGAGCCATTGCCAGCCAGAGACGTGGCTCTCACTCTGACTGAGTAGTTTCCTGGACTGAGGTTGGACAGCCGAACGCCACGCTGGGCCCGATACATTTGACCAGATACACATTCATGCTTCTCAGTCTGACACACACACACACACACACACACACACACACACACACACACACACACACACACA